CCCCATCCAAACTCTTCTCATTTTCTAAGTCAACCATAATCCTCATTGAGACTCGTGTTCACCACCTAAACTCAGTCAACACTCTCACACATATCACTAAGTCTGTTCATGACGCACGGGGCCACTAAGTCATGAACTACTAAGGTTCTCAACACAACCAGGAACAATAAAAGCAAACATATCAAATACAGTAAAATATTCACAAAACATGAAATGTAATCACAAATCAGTAAAAACATGCATACAATTCGGTTTCATCAATATCTTGTTATCCAAATCTCAAAACTACTCATAAAAATTATCAGCAATTAAATAACATCAAATACAACTATGGTTAAAGGTAAAATCGAAAATCGTGATTGTTTTACACATGAAATGTCATAGTCCATAACTACCCACACAAAATCATAATTTACTTAAAACCCAAAATAAATAATTCTTTTTACAAATAAATTCCTTTAAATCATCATAATTATCAAAAATATAATTCTTTTACCAAAATAACTTAACAACTCAAAATGACCCTTTTTTCGAAATAAATTAATTTAAATTATCTATTTTAATGATTATTCAAAACCAACTCCTTTTCCAAATAAATTCTTTCTCAACATAATTATTCTAAAAATAATCTTTAAAAATAATAATCTATTAATTCTTATCCTTACAATATCAGTTATTAATTATTCTAAAAATAATCTTTAAAAATAATAATCTATTAATTCTTATCCTTACAATATCAGTTATTCTTATCTATCATCAAACAATCCACGCAGATAATTATATCAAAATTTAAAAACTACAACCAATCATAATACAGTCAAAATTTGTATATAATGTATAATAAATCTTAAATTCAGATTTGAGCAAGAGGGATCTTGCCTCGGGTTTTGTCGAATGAATCAACGTTGTCGTGCAAATCCTCGGCGAGCGTCGGTGTGACAGCGGTGACGACGGAGTTCGTCGAATCTAGAGAGCGTTGGTGAAGGTGGCGATGACGGAGTTTGTTGGATGAACTCGGCGACGAGGGCTGCAAGCGGATCTGAGGGAGGGGCAGCAGGT